ACACCTGCTTCAACCATTATCCACCCACATCTGTTTCTCTATGAACTACATCAACTCACTCGATAATTGCCTTGAACCCATTCAAAATCCTCCACCTAGCTACACCATTCACTAAAACCACATGCAGGACTGACTCAATACTTATCACTGAACGGAACGACGGCTCTTTCCTCTTCAAAAAGGAGCTACTGCACAGAGTTATACTTCCCTGCCTTGTTCAGTACAGCCCCAATGCACTCACTCATATAACCGCTGCTCCATACAGCCCAAACTCACTCACCCCCTCCATCTGAACTTATTCTTCAGGTCCTTCTTACCCCTGCTCTGTACAGCCACAATCCATTCATTCACTCTTCTCTAACCCTACTCAACACAACACAAGTCACTCATCCTTTACTCCCTACACCTACTCAATACAGCCCCATCCACTCCATTTCACCCCTGTTCAGTAGAGTCCAAGTTACTCATTCACTTCACCCCTAATCAGTACAGCCGCAATTCATTCATTCACTCCACCCATACTCAACACACTGCCTGGGTCCTGGCCACCGGTCCGGGGTGCTCTGCATTTTAATTTAATTTTAAATGAAGCTTCTTAAACATTTTAAAAACCTTATTTACTTTACATACAACAATAGTTTAGTTATATATTATAGACTTATAGAGAGAGACCTTCTAAAAACATTAAAATGTATTACTGGCACGCGAAACCTTAAATTAGAGTGAATAAATGAAGACTCGGCACACCACTTCTGAAAGGTTGCTGACCCCTGGGCTAGATAATACTTAGTCCTGCTTTGAGTGCAGGGAACTGGACTAGAAGACATCTCAAGGTCCCTTCCAGTCATACACTTCTATGATTCTGTGTTACTTTTGTTTGTCTTGTGTATTTTGACTGTAGGCTCTTTGGGGGAAGGACTGACTTTTACAATATTTGTACAGTGCCTCGTACAACAGGGCCCTGATCTCAGATGGGCGTTACCATTACTACTACTACATCCAGTAAAGAATGGGAAAAGGTATAGAATAGAGAGTAAGGAGTTGAGAGAGGGCAGAACAGTGGTATAAACCAAAACTAAGGAGGGTTTGAATTTGGGGACCCCTTCTATCTGAATGCCCCAACTTTTGGGTGACTTGCAAAAATAGTTTGGATTCAACCCCTATACCTAAAAAGGGATGCAAAAACATATACACCAGTCTTATTATTTTATTTCATTATTGATTTATTTTACACTGATCATCTGTTCCTTGGATGGCTTTTGAAAGGAGTGTAGTGTAATGAGTAGACATACGTTATTGTAGGTAGGAAAATGAATAAGCATGTGTTTCTAAGCATAAAGAGAACTGTAATTGCCAATGGGGGGTATGAATCACTGGTTAGGAAAACACTATTATTGGATAAGTAAACAAGACTGTATGGAGCAGTGATACTCAGACCTCAGTGGTTCAGGAGCCAAATTAGCAATCAACATTACCCAGAAGAATCACGGTAGTGTGAAGTCATTGTTTCACTTGCTGTATATATTATTTTCACACCAAAATGACTGACCAAGTATTCCACAATTGGTTAATAACATAGTAAAAGCATCCTGATTGGTTAATAACTTAGATTGGTGAATAATTAAATCACACAGTATTTTAATATCATGTGCTGCAAGGAGCCACAGGAGACACGTTCAAGAGCCACTTGCAGCTCCCGAGCCTCAGTCTGAGTATCACTGACACAGAGCATTGAACAAGGGGATATTACTGAAGAAAAGGAAGATTAATAAATAAAGGGAATATTTGAATAAGTAACACTGAATAAATGAGGAGATGTTCAGTAAATGGAGTGAACATGCCCGGGGCTGAAGAGAAAGAAAGAGGGAATGAAGGACAAGGGTCTTTACTCAAATGAGAGGAAGACTATAGAGCAGGGGTTGGCAACCTTTCAGAAGTGGTGTGCCGAGTCTTCATTTATTCACTCTGATTTAAGGTTTCGCGTGCCAGTCATACATTTTAATGTTTTTAGAAAGTCTCTTTCTATAAGTCTATAATATATAACTAAACTATTGTTGTATGTAAAGTAAATAAGGTTTTTAAAATGTTTAAGAAGCTTCATTTAAAATTAAATTAAAATGCAGAGTCCCCGGACCGGTGGCCAGGACCCGGGCAGTGTGAGTGCCACTGAAAATCAGCTTGCGTGCCGCCTTAGGCACGGGTGCCATAGGTTGCCTATCCCTGATCTAGACCATCCCTGACAGATGTTTGTCTAAAAATCTCCAATGACGGAGATTCCACAAACTCCCTAGGCAATTTATTCCAGTACTTAACCACTCTGACAGGAAGTTTTTCCTAATGGCCAACCTAAACCTCTCTTGCTGCAATTTAAGACCATTGCTTCTTGTCCTATCCTCAGAGATTAAGGAGAACAATTTTTCTCCCTCCTCCCTGTAACAACATTTCATTTACTTGAAAACTGTTATGTCCTCCCTCAGTCTTCTCTTCTCCAGACTAAACAAACCCAGTGTTTTCAATCTTCCCTCACAGATCATGTTTTCTAGACCTTTAATCATTTTTGTTGCTCTTCTCCGAACTTTCTCCAATTTGTCCACATCTTTCCTGAAATGTGGAGCCCAGAACTGGGCACAATACTCCAGCTGAGGCCTAATCAGCGTGGAGTAGAGCAGAAGAATTACTTCTTGTGTCTTGCTTACAATACTCCTGCTAATACACCCCAGAATGATGTTTGCTTTTTTTGTAACAGTGTTACACTGTTGAATCATATTTAGCTTGGAATCCACTATGACCCCCAGATCCCTTTCCGCAGTACTCCTTCGTAGGCAGTCATTTCCCATTTTGTATGTATGCAACTGATTGTTCCTTCCTAAGGAACATTGCATTTGTCCTTATTGAATTTCATCCTATTTCAGACCATTTCTCCAGTTTGTCCAGATCATTTTGAAGTTCAATCCTATCCTCCAACGCACGTGCAACCCCTCCCAGCTTGGTATTGTCTGCAAATTTTGTAAGTGTACTCTCTATGTCATTCTCTAAATAATTGATGAAGATACTGAACAGAACCAGACCCAGGACCAATCCCTGTGGGACCCCACTTGATATGCCCTTCTAGCTTGACTGTGAACAACTGATAACTCTCTGGGACCAGTTTTTCAACCAGCTATGCGCCTATCTTATAGTAGCTCCATCTAGGTTGAATTTCCCTAGTTTGTTTATGAGAAGGTCATGCGAGACAGTATCAAAAGCCTTACTAAAGTCAAGATATACCACATCTACCACTTCCTCCCTATCCACAAGGCTTGTAACCCTGTCAAAGAAAGCTGTTAGGTTGGTTTGACATGATATGTCCTTGACAAATCCATGCTGACTGTTACTTAGCACCTTATTATCTTCTAGGTGCCTGCAAATTGATTGCTTAATTATTTGCTCCATTGCCTTTCCGGGTACAGAAGTTAAGCTGACTGGTCTGTAATTCCCCAAGTTGTCCTTATTCTCTTTTTTGTAAATAGGCACTATATTTGCCCTTTTCCAGTCTTCTGGAATGTCTCCCGTCTTCCATGACTTTTTGAAGATAATCGCTAATGGCTCAGATATCTCCTCAGTCAGCTCCGTGAGTATTCTAGGATGTATTTCATCAGGGCCTGGTGATTTCAAGACATCTAACTTGTCTAGGTAATTTTTAACTTGTACTCTCCCTATTTAACCCTCTGATCTTGCCTCATTTTCACTGGCATTCACTATGTTAGATGTCCACTCACTACTAACCTTTTTGGTGAAAACTAAAAGAAAAAAGTAATTTAGCACTTCTGCTATTTCCACATTTTGTTATTGTTTTCCCCCCTCATTGAGTAACAGGTCTACCTTGTCCTTGGTCTTCCTCTTGCTTCCATAGGGGCATAGTAAGTAACATTTGTAGAATGTTTTCTTGTTACCCTTAAGTCTCTAGCTAGTTTCACCTTGTTTTGTGCCTTGGCTTTTCTAATTTTGTCCCTCCATACTTGGGTTATTTGTTTATATTCATAAAGGATCATTATCCCCATGTTACAGATGGGGAGCTGAGGCACAAAGAAATTAAGTGACTCACCTAAAGCCCCAGAGGATGTCTGTGGTGGAGCAGGGAATTTAACCTAGATCCCCTCAGTCACAATCCATCCTTCCTCTCCAAAAAGCCCTCATAAAAGGCCCACATCCATTCCTTACTATGCCCCTTGCTCATCGTCCAGTCCTCATTCCCTCTACCTCTGCTTATACTTTCGGGCCTTGAATCAGCAAACCACTGAAGCACATGCCCAACTTTAACCACATGCATAGTCCCATTCCAGGGCCCAAATTATTCTTTCTAAGCATCCGTACTGATCCTACCCACATCTCCCAAACACAACAGATTCCTCCTGCCTGGGTGCTCTCTCTTGCCTTTGAGTGATCCACCCACCAACATCTTCTTTCTCTCTTCTCCTCTTTCCCTTGCTTCTAAAAATATAGTCTCCCATTTACTGCTGACTGGACACCCCGGCCTGTCATTTCATCCTTCTTCCCCTTTCCCCTATGGTGTTCCAAAAACACCTGATGTGCCTTTAAAGAGGGAAGTTAGGTCAAGGCACTGCTGTCCACGGTGCTGAAACAGAGCACTGTCAACAAGGTCTCCAGGGGTGTGAAAGAGCAGGACTGTGGCCAAAACTATGAATTGCCATTAAATACATCTCCCTGCTCCATGTTCATTCCTCAACATTTCCACAATCAACTCAGCTCGGTTTTCCAGGTCAAAATGAGATTCTACTTCCCTCCACCAAGCCACCAGCATGGGCCTGAGGTCTGAAATTTATAATTCACATTGACAATACAGGCTGGGGTGGTCCTGCTGGCTTGGATAGAGGCAGGACAGCAAGAGTGGCTTCTGCACGGCTCTACTAAAGTGTTTTCTAAGCCCTTGGTTTTAACTGTAAGCAAAGCAGGAATCACTCAGGAGGCAGAGACACCTCAGAGATGGGGCAAGTACTCACAGTATCCTGGTCTCAGCAAGGAGCTGGAATCCCCTCATTATCTCCAGTTCTATGGAAACAGAGAAGTGGAAAGAGGGGTTACAGCACGAGGGATGGAGATGGCTGTTTGGAAGCGAATCCATGGGATAGTCCAGCTATCAGCCCATATATTTATCTCTGTCTCTATGCCCTCTTGCATCAAACACCAATTTGAGTGGTTGGTAAACAAGTCAGGCTGTTCAGCTGTCCCATTAATTTGCTCCTTGCCTCACTAGTCTACCTGTAGTAGGAGAAAATGTATGTTTAGAAATTGGCAGTGTTGTGTATGGAATTACCAGGCTGAAGGCCCACTGACTACTAAAGAGAGAGAGAGAGAGATTAGATATTACAACATCCATGCCTAGATATTATGATGATGGGCACATTAGAAATTAGAAAGAAAAGAAAAGAAATCCAAATTAATTTAGGAGTGATATACTGAAAACAATCTTTTCAACAACAAAAAAAGGGAAAGAATTAAATACGCATTGACAGAAAACTGGGAACGAATATTTTTTATGAGCTTGTTAACATTTGTGAAGTAAAGTAACCCAAAATTTATGCCATTAATTTGCATGTATTACACCCCCCCCCCGTGCTGCCAGTTTATAGTCTCTGTGAAACCTTTAAAAAGTTGTGTTTTTTCCCCTTCGCTTGTGTTAATTAATGCTTGTGAAATAGGTTTGTATTTTTTTTTTTTACACAGCTGCTGTTGTACACTGCTAAACTAAATCATCAAATGATCCCTATGCCTTTTTCCATAGGCCACTTCTTCTGCCTCCCCATTCACTTGGGTGTGAGGTGACCCAGGGTCCACTAAACCACATTGTTAACTAAGCGTGCCCAGAAGCAGGAGACTCGTGGCAATCATCTTTCCAGTTTGCACCAATTGTCATGCAGAGATGGAAGGGGCTTTCACCGGGGATGGTCTCTGACAGATGAAGAGTTAACAGCTCCAAAGCATTCCTGCTATCACATTGCCATGCTGAGGCAAACTGTATTTACACATTAGCAGTCACTAGGGAGCCTTGAAATCGGATTCCTGGGGGAAATCCAGCCAAAGACTCATTGAGACTCCTAATGAAACGACTGACGGCCACAGCTGGGAAAAGTAACCAGTGTTTGGACTACAGCGTATTCTCATGCTGGTGATAGAGGAAGGATCATCCCCTGGGTGTTAAGGGGCTCCAGATCTGGAGCAAGCATTCAATAAATTCAATTCAGGTTCTTCCCCTCCTCCCAGGGGCTACCCCCAGAGTCCATTCCAGGGACCACAGCAGCCTGGTTCAGGTTCTTCCCCGCCTAGGTGAATCCTGGTCTTCCCATTGCAGGCAGGCATACATTATTCCCAGGGAGCAAGCAGAGTTGGAGAGACCCTTTTCTGCCTGACTCCAGCACAGAGTGTATCTAACAGATCCTCTTTGAGCTCAGCAGGTATCCCAGCATGTGATTTTCTGTGCTCAGCTGGAGGGGAGTCTTAGTCCTGGCCTAATTATGTCCTGACTTTCTCTGCATGTCTCTAAGGCCCCATCCTTACCAGAGCTAAGATGACTTTTGTTAAGCAAGAACACAGGTTTTAAGCCTAGTTTTGACACAGGCTGGTTCCCAATGGTGCTGGCCAGCCAAACCTTCTTAGAAACCAGTTCTGCTAGGACCACAATTCCGCTGATGTTCAACATTGATCCTTGTGGGCACGGCCCCTTCTCGTGCAGCGAAGGCAGGGAACAGCGGTGAAACTGTTAATCATTTCAACAGTGAAGATGCTTCCCCCCCCTCCAACCTAATTCTCTGCTTTCAATCAACTGAAGGCTCTGGCAGGCACTTTATTGGTATCCAGAGGGGTCTCTGTGGAATTGGAGCGGGAGGGTGGGGTGTGAACCAGATTTCTATTCTGACATTATTACATTGCGGCATGGGGGTGTTAAGCACTGGGGAGGATACTTTCATTTACTCCCTGGCTTTCTGTTGCCTTGGCAACACGAACAATGAATCCGAACCAGGAATCCAGCTGCAATGTGGTGGTAATGGGGCGGGAGTTGGGATCCCACCTGCTTATTTGTTTGGAGGGGAGCACAGCAAAGTGGTGAAGAGCACCGAGGTGACAAAGGGAGCAGGGATGGACTCCTACACAGACACCCACAGCCCCCCCACACACCGACAACACAAACACAGACACACGGCCTCTACACTGAGAAACGCAACCACACACCCGCCGGCGTGCAGACAGACACAAACAGATACACAACAGGCACAAACTCGCAGGCACATACACATGAACACACAGATACACCCTTGGCTTTTTATTCTTGCCATTAACTTGCAACCCCCTGCCCTCCTGGACTACTGGTGCTCGTTTCACGCACTTAGACACAGTGTGTCCCAGGCTTCAAACTCAGGGCTCTGAAGCACAAGGAATACCAGAGGGCCATCCCCGCTAGCTTAGCCAGCAGAGGGATTTCCCATCCCTAACCTGTGCCAAAAGGCAGCCGTGGTTTGCCCGCAGCCTATTCACTCTCCCAGGAGATGCCAAGCAGTTCGTGGCACGTGCCTGCTCAGCCCCTCCCCCTCTGCTAGGCAGCTGGCATCACCGTGCTCCCATTTACACCTTTCAGCACCTGAAACTAGGGCTCTGGCTTGGACTAGCGACAGGCTGTCCCCTAAGGTGTTCCACATCTGGGAGTCAAAGCCAACTCTCCCAGCCAGGAGCTGCCTCCCCCATTACAGCCCTCAGCTGCATCCCCTGCCTCCACCCCAGCCCTGCTGGACCACTGAGGGCCCTCATAATCACAGCAATTCCCCTCCACTTCTCCAGACTGGCCTGTCACAAAGACACAGCCTTCTGACCACGGGGAACGGAACGGGCGCCCAGCTACACACCGCCAAAGGGGGACACTGGAGACCAACGTTAAGTGCTGCTTTGTTTCTTGGCCCCCTGGTGCCACAGATCTCCCAGCCTAGGCCGCGTTGGGTGAAGGAGCTAGGCAAGAGCAGTCACCCTCTGAGCACCCTTCCCGGCCGGCGAAGGGTGAGCGAGTGGAGCAGTGAATTGAATCCCCGTCCTGCGTTCCCACACAGCCTTTGGGCTGCTCCCACTTACACTCCCTTTCCCATGGCCCCCTCTGAGCCCTGGGACCAGAGGACAGCTGTGGTACAGTGCCATGTGGGCATGCCCCCTCCCTGCCCTCAACGGACCCCTACGCTGGGGGCTGGAGGCAGGGCTAGCCCAGAGCCCAAATACCAAATCTGCTCCAGCCAGAGGAGAGACTGGCTCCACCCACTTCCAGAGTGATATTAAGGGGCCTTCGTGTGATGGGGAATCAGCCCCCCCCCCGAGGGGGACTCTGCCAGGGGCAGGATCGGGGTTCCCGTGTGGTAGAGAAGGAAGCAAGGCCTGAGCGAAGCTGGAGACTGAATTCCCCTCAGGCCAGCAGAGCAAGGGCCTGGGGACCAGGGGGGGTCAGGCCTTAGGGGAGCACTGCATGGGGAGGGATGGGAAGTAGAGAGGGGATGCCCCACTCAAGAGGCCTTTGCATGGCAGAGCCAGGGTTTGTTGTGGCTGGCACAGCATTGTGTATGTGTGTGTGTGTCAGGGGGCGCTGCCTCCTGTCCACCCCACACCCACAGGGCTTTCGACTCCCAATTAGGCTCCTGGCTGCCTCCCATCCTGTGACTCCAAACTCTCCATCTGCTCAATTAAAAAAAAAAAAACACCACAGGAAAGGAGAAAAACAAACACTTAATTTCTAATCTCATCAGTCCTCTCACTAATTAGCACCCTCTGAGCTCAGGCACAGGCTTCCTGAGACACCGTGGGGCCGGTAATGACCCCCGACCTGCGCACACATATGTAGGGAAAGGAGGGAGTGGGAAGGGGGTTTCCAATCCCTTCAAACAGCGTCGGCCAGGAGCAGGGAGGCCTTGTTTGCTGTTGGTTTGAATCTACTTTCGTGCACTCTCTTTTCCCCCGTTCCCCTCCTGCCCCCCCAGTAAACCGAGAGAATGGGATTCTGGGGCGACGCCCCTTCTTGGCAGGATCCCTGGGTGGGGGGAGTGGGGAGTATGGGTTGAGGGGAGGGGAGGGGACTGGAGCGGATTTCTGGCACTGATTCCACCCTGAAACACACGCTAATTTGTGCCTCCCGCAATCACGTCAGTGGTAATGGAGGGCTCTGTTCAGGACACGCGGGACACTAATTAAGGGTCTTCCAAGGCAGCGTTCTGCGGTGTGTTCTCTAAAGGGGGGCAGGGGGAAGGAGACAAGAGTGGGTGTTCTCTGCTCAACGGAGGAGTTTTGACTGCTATGGCTGCGGCTGCTGAGAAGGCTCTTCCTCCTTCCCTGTTCCCCCATCTCCCATGGCAACTCTAACATCGTAGCAAGCAAGTTGCAGGCATCTGATGTGTGCAGCCCCCAGGCAGCCCGGTGGGGTTTGGTACCAGGCGTATGATGCCAGGGGATGAGTTACAGAAGATAGGTCCCCACTGCTCTTAGAGAGATGGGGAGACAGAGGAGAGAGAGGGAAGGAGACAGAGAATGAAGAGGAGGAGAGAGAGCATGAAGGAGTGAGGACAGAGAGAGAGATGGAAGATGAGACAGACCACAAGTGAGGGAAAGAGAGGAAAACAGAGAGAAGAGGAGACACTCAGAGAGACAAAGAGAAGAGGCAGAGACAGCGCTCTACTCATGCCAACTGGAGCTGGTCACGCTAAGCTTGGTTCCGAAACCAGACCCTGTATTTTGGGGAGCAAATAACCGCCTGACTCTGCTTTCCTCATTCTCCAGAGCGTTTGGGCAAAGTGCTCTTAGCCTCTGGGTCGTCTGCAAACTGCGCGCTCTGACTCTTCACTGGCAGGGCTGTGTGGCTGGTTGGTTGCCTACATCACATCGCGTTATTTCTGCTCACCGATTGGATGGCTGACACGTTTTCAACGGGACGATAGCAAGTAACGGATCAAGCGCTTGCCGCACAATCATCTGTGCAACTTCAGAGACTCTCAGGCATTTTCACAGACGCCTGGCGCTCATCCAAATAC